TTTGGAACAAGTTCCCAAACATTGTTCTCTCAAATTGATTTAGTTCTTCTTGCATAACTAGAGATCAATATCCGTCGATAAGAGCTTTATCAATTTCCTTTATCTCAATTTTGAATATAAATCCACAAAACTAAGTACCTTATAAGGGATTGTAGAGTTGTATCTCCTTTAGAAATATCTCCAATGATATTATAGTTTGGATGGTTTTTGGAAGTCCTTCATTCCTTGGGAAGATTATGACATTCTACATTTTGTTCATTTTGAATGTCTTCAGTTTTATTTATTCTTTATCTTGTTTTATTTCTTGATCTTCCTCTTGCTCTTTATCTTTCAGATACATTTTTCTCAAGGATACATGCATAATCAACAACTACTACCTCTAAAGATGGTGTTAAATTCATCAAAGGTAGCATGAATAGATGATTCTATTTTTAGGATTATTTTATTTAAAATTTTAAAAGCTTTAAAAGAAGTGGAATATTCTAGGAATATACCTTAATTAGATTTTGGGTCGAATTTCTCAAAATTATCCTTTTTGTTGTTAAGCACAAAGAATTTGCATCTAAAGATATTTAAGTGAGAAATATCCAGCTTTCTTCCTTTGTATAACTCATATAGCGTTTATTTTAGAACTGGTCTTATCAATACATAATTCATTACATAGAAACAAGTACTTACTGTATCAGGAGGATTAGTTTTATTAAGCACCATCCTCACTAACTCTTTGGGAGATTTAATCTTCCTCTCCACTCGAGGGATTTTGTGGAGTGGCAAAAGTGCATTGAATACCATTCTCATTATATAAAAAATTGAACTTCTCATTTTTTAATTCTCCACCATGATCATTTCGGATTGATACAATCTTTAATCCTTTTTCATTCTAGATAATCTTAACTAATTTTTGAAAGAAAGAAAACACGTATCTTTTATAAGATAAGAACAAAGTTCATGTACAGTGAGAGTATTCATCCAAAACTACAAGGGCATATAAGTTTCCACAAAAACTTTTGGTTATGGATGGGCCAAAAAGATTCACGTGCAAAAGTTGTAAGGATCGATTTGTAGAAATGACATTTTTCGCTTTAAAAAAGACCCTTACTTTTTTACCTTTTTGGAAAACATAACATAACTAATTATTTTCAAAACATAAGTTTGGCCAGTCGAATATTAATTCCCTATTATTTAAGTGGTCCATATGGATATGAGTTATTCTCCTATGTCATAACCATGATTTATCCTTGTTACTCGGAAGATAAACTTCATTTGAATGAATTTTGTTTAAATTCATTGTGTTAGTATTTCTACTTCTTGAACTAGTAAAGATGGTTTGATTTGATTTTGATTTTTTAATCCTACATCCAAAAGAATCAAAGCTTACATTATCACTTTTGTCACATAATTGACTAATACTTAATAAATTGATTTAAACCATCAACTAAAATAACCTCCCTAATCTTTGAATTGAATAACTTACTAACACTATCAATATTGATGATATTTCTTTTGTTGTTGTCACCATATGAGACAAAACTCTCATTTTAAAAGTCAAGTAAGAAAAAAGAGATTCACCCCAGTCATATGCTTTGTACCGTCTCTATCAATATATCACTTAGTGTTCAACATTGTAAAGTATTCTTGCATCAAAAACTTAGGGCTTAATTTTATGTATCCAAATCATTTTGGATCCTCTAATGTTCGTTTGACCAATATTTCCATTAGATTTCTTTTGAGAATCATAATTACAAGAATATAATTAAGGAGACATGTTTCTCATTTTTCAATCATGATGCTCTTTATAAAAATGTGAAAGAGGATAACCATGTTTACTTTCATGATTTTTTTAATAAAACAAAATAATGCAATATGACCACTTTTATTACTATAGTTACATTTTAGTTGTTTGCATTTCAGAGTTTGATGCGCATGGCATACATTATTGAAATTTTTTAACAATACTCTTAGGTTCATAACTTAGAGCATGCTTAATATATGATGCTCTTAGATTACCTATGATAAGTGAATTTATCAAATCTGTTTTGTAAATTATCATTTTACTTTTTAAAATATTATATTGATAACACGAGATATATTATCTTGAGAAGAGGAAGAGTTTTGAGTTAAAATATTGTCTCTGTTTAAAAATTTCTATTTTTTTTAATATGTTTTTATTTTCAATTTCGAGAAAAGAAATAGTGGTTTTAGAGCTGGAGACAAGATTTTTAACTTACTTGTTTCTTTATTTTAATTTCTCGCAAATGCAAAAAAGATCATGTTAAGAAAAATATGAAGTTACCTCATCTTTTTTACAATTTGTCATGAGTTATATGTTGCCTTCTTCATCATCTGAAGAATCCATGTCATTTTCATCCCAAACGATATAAGATTTCTTAGCTTCGTTTTTAGGTTTCTTGATTTTTCTCTAATCTTCATTCCTTTCTATTTTTTAGGGTAATTTGGTGTTATGTGTCCCTTCTTCCCATATTGAAACCATGTAGGAGTAAATGAGAACTTTCCTTAGTTATTTTGTTGCTCTGGTGCTTTCCGTGTTTCATAATTCTTATGAAGTCTTGAACGATCAGCTTCATTTCTTTATTGGGGTCAAAATATTTTTCTTTTTCGGTCTTGAGTGCTAGAGTTATCTTTTTCTTGCCACCTTCTTATCATTTTCACTTATTTTCAGTTTCATCTCATGTTCCTGTAATTTATCATAAAGAGTGGTCAAATCTATGGATGATAAATCCTTAGATTCATAAATCACAATGACTTTGGATGGTCACTTATAGTTCAAGCATCTTATAAACTTTACAACCAAGTCCTTATTTTGAAAAACATTTTTCATAGTTCTCCTGAGATTTACAATGTGGGTGAATCATTTTTACATATCTTAAATGTTTTCTTTATGTTCCATTATGAAGAGTTCATATTTATTGGTTAATGTGTTCATCCTTACTGTTTTTTACCACAAATATTTCTTCATGGATTACTTGAAGAGTGTCCCCACATTTCTTTTGCAGTCTTACGGTGAGAAACATGTAAGAATCTATCAAAGCCAAGAGAATTAGTGATGATAGTCTTAGCTTTGAAACTACACTTCACTTTTTCTCTTTCTTCTTAGGTCCAATTATCTTCTTTGTTTACTACAACACAACTAACTTGATATGCGGGAACAAAATAACCTTTTTTTTATAGTTTTCTAAATAGAAAAATTCAACCTCTCCATAAATATTTTATTCCCTTTTCTCAAAGCATTGCCCTTCTCCATTAATGGATGGGGATTTATTTAATGAATTATTTAAATTTATTTCTTTCTATTGGAATGATTAATTTTAAAATGAGTTAGACTATGATACTGCTTATTGACCAAGTGACTCTGATACAAGAGAGGAGAGAGGGTGAAATATGAATTAAATAGAGATAAAGAAGTGTAGAAGAGTAAGAAAAGGAAATATAGAGGAAAGAAAAAAATGATAGAAAATTAAGAGATAGAGTTTGCACCAGAGATAAAACACGTTTGGCCTACCACTTGTCTCACTCCTTTCCACTAATAATAAGTTTTGAGCTTTTAAAGGTATGCCCACAAATCTTCTTACACCAAGTGAGAGATTTTGCATAAGTTGATCGACAAACTAAATGGAACTTTTAATCGGTTGAGCTCACAAACTAAACAGGTTTTAACTAGGTCATCTCAAAAAACAAATAGAGATTTTCACATGTTAATCTCAAAAACTAAACAAAAATATTTCTCTAAGATATTTTTCATTCTTTTTAATGAAGAATAAGAAAATAGAGAAGAGAGCGAAAACTAAGATAGAAGAGTTTCCAATTCAAAATTTAGTGTGAATAACGTATAAAATGAGATAGAACACATTATAAAAAATATTTTTAGGTGTTTTAACAAATAAGAGTCTTCAAATATTTTTTAGTGGGCGTGTGAGTTGCCTTAGTATCTCGACAATTAATGTTACACCTTTACATAAAATTGATCACTCGGACATACATTAAACACAAAATCAGACGAATTTTTACACGGAAAAAACTTAAGTACATTTCCTTATGTGTGATTTATACTTTTTTCCAATGAAAATATGACAATTGTATAATTTTCTCGTACACATATACAATTTCTTCCTATTTTTACTTCCTAAAAGATATTTTGGTATATTTATCATACTTTTATTAGAGAAATGTATGAACCACAACTATAGAATTGTATCTAAGTATTCTCCCTTTTACACTTTCTCTCTTTCACAACTTTAAAACTTCAAGTTCTTTTCTCTCTTCACAACTTTAAAGCTTCAAGTTCTCTTACTTGATTCAATATTAATTTAGCGCTTCAATTGAAACTTTACTCTTCTCACTAATGATGCTTGAGATAATTCTTTGATTACATACCATCAACAGAGATTGTTGGACAGTTGTTCTCACAGACTTCATTGAACCTCATTTGACTTTAAGTGTTGTCATCATCAAAACTATCAATCATCTGACAGTTACACCTTCAAACACATAGATTCACAATAGACATATTCATAATAGTGGAAGAACTCAAATTTGATCACAAATGGTAGGTACTCCCAAGACAAGCCATAAAGAGCAATGAGCATGAAGAATATAATGTGTTTTCTCTTGTTCAACTGTAGTGCTTCCGACTGGAGGTAGGAACTCATTAACTTCATAAGTGTGAAATAAACTCACCAAAATATGTTGAAATAAAGCTTATATATCATTTTCGGGGTAATAATATTCATCTTGTAACAAACTCCATAAAGACGTTTAATGTCATAAGTTTAGAGTTCTTTCACCTCACTCCAACCCGATTGACACGTGATATAAAAATTAAAGACCAATTTAATATCCTGGGGAATGGTAGATTTGGAAACTAACCAATGCATACAACACAATACAAAAGGATAATATATATCTTACTGCAAGAACTCTCTTGGATCAGTAACATAACCGGCCAATGCAGATGCTGCAGATTCTCAAAAGGATAATATATTTTACTGCAAGAACTCTCGTGGATCAGTAACATAACCGGTCAACGCAGATGCTGCAGCTGTATACGGGGAAGCCAAATATATTTCACCTTCCCTGTGGCCCATTCGTCCCGGAAAGTTTCTATTCGTAGTTGAAACACAAACCTGCACAACCAACACATCAACAATGGAAGTAAATTACGCAGATTCGCGATATATACAAAGCATATAAATGCAATCATATGGTAAAAGAGCAGGGGAGCTTGCCTGAGGTTCATTCATGCGAGCATAAGTATCTTTCGGGCCACCCAAACAAGCACCACAACTAGGACTGGCAGGTGTGTCGCAACCAGCTTCTTCAAATATCTGTGAGCAAGTCTTACCGCCTGAACCAGGGACTGGGAGGCTATACACATCCATCCAAACCTGAAATTCCATTAAGAGATATGTTGGCATAATTTATCACGAAAGTTCTATTATCAACTTCTACAAAGATATATGAACATGAAATTTTCAGCAGACCTTCTGTGTTGCCGGGACAAGAAATGTGGGAACTTTAACCTTTTTACCCTGCAAACGCAAATATCATGTTTTTCATTAGGGGAGATAGTTGTGAGATTCATACAAGATATTGGCACAAACATGTCATAAAAAGCATAGGAAAAACTTTTAAGTCCAACCCCACTATCTTTCTTTTCCAGTGTTATTGATGGCAAATGGCAGAATATGGTGTGAGGCCAATTCACGCCAAAAACCCACCATATAAACATGTCAGTGCAGCCTATGGTGCCGATATGGCGGACATCCCTTCCCACATGGCCTATGACAACGGTTGTTAAAATCTGCCACGCCATTTTGCCATGGCCACCATTGAGCAATAATGTTTTTTTTAAATATAATATTATAGATGCAATAGGAAAATAAGATGCATACCGATGCTAGGAAAACTTTTGCAGCAGCCATGAAATCTTCTGTTTTCCCACCCGTACAAGATCCTATGTATACTCTGTTAATTTTCACATCCTTGCACTCTCTTGCCAAAGCACGGTTATCCGGTGAATGAGGCTGCAACATTTAAGTATTACATCAGCTAAGGAACACAGTGATGGCATCAGATAAAAACAATGTATTGATCAAAGGAAGTGCAATCAAAGGACTAACCTTAGCCACCAGTGGCTCCAATTTTGTGACATCAAATCTATACTCAGAAAGAAAGCTAAATTCCAACCAAAAAAAATGATTAGTTAATAAAACTGATTACCAATGCATACTTATTAATATTTCATTAAACACAACGACACCTCTATCCTTTACAAGTTGCCCATGGTGGTTGTCAAAAATCTACCACCGCAATCCAATATGGCACCACAAATTTGACAACAATGTTTACTAAGATAAATATTTGTTGTTATTTTCTATTAGCAGAATGAAAATTATAAACTATCACTTGTCCATGAAATTCATAAAGTTAACAGATAAAATATAATTTATCAGTACAAGATGTGATATATGGAGCATTAGCTATTCCTAAACACTGACTATGACAGGGAAAATTAAAAAGGAACCGAAAACTTTGTCTACCTTGCTTGCTGGTCACTATAAACTGGTTCATATGGCACAGATGTCTTGTCCTGAAAAAGAAGTGGAAACATCATTAAAAGAAGCATTGGATATGACATGAACATAATACGCAAAAGGGAAAGCATCGTTCAAGGGAAACTGAGCATGCCAACACTATGTCAATGCAGAAAAACTTAATGGGATGGCATGTTCAGAAGGCAAAATTAATTACAGCAAACCGATAAGAAAAAGAAAAATATGACCCTTTCACTATAACATACCATAGCAAATATTACGTATGATAAACAGATTACTATATGTTCATGGGAAGAGCCAAACAATTGCAAAATTTCATCATTATTCCATCGAGATAGGTCTAAAATGCTTAAGACTATTGTATACAATAAAAAATTTCAGATATTTACTAGATATTCAAACACTCTCGAGCTAAATCGCACCAATTTTTAAACTCGTTGTTAAGTGAATAGACTACAAAAGGAAAACAGTATACATATGAAAACGCTCCATAAAACATAGTGGGATAACTCAGTGACACAGCTACGGTGATCATCGGTCTGACCAATTTCTAGGCAATCAATCCAGCATAGTAAAAACCAACACTTCTCCAAGATAAGCTTTTAAAAGCCTCAAACAGCATGAAAAAATACCCAATAAAATTGAACATTAAATGTTTTAGAAGTGGTGTGAATTGTAGCCAACATATGTCAGTCAGAATGATGGTTGTTACTGAGAAGAGAAGTCACTACTTGTATCATTCATGTGGGAAATCACCACTAGAATGATAGTCCTTGAAAGGTGAAGTCACCACTGGTTAGTTACTTTGAAGAGAGCATGTGCCACCGGTTTTCTCAGATGGAATAACAAGGCAAACAATAGTGATAGTGGAAAGATCCAGGGTTTCTTGCAGTTCCTCACACCCAAGAAAAATAAGAGGTGCCAATCCAAGATTGTAGCCACAGAAGGAGAAATAGCCGTTACAGAAACTGAGGACAAATAGATGTGTGGTGAGTCCATCTTTGGAAAAAACAAACAAGTCAGGCAGGTGAAACGGAAGTTGTCTGCGTCCCCCGGCCATAGCTTCAAACACAAAAGGTGCAAAGTTGAACAGACTTTGGCAGGCAGCATGTGGTTGCATGTTGAAGCTAAAGTGGCGGTGCCATTGCAGGCCCTAGCAACAATTTGATGGTGTCCAGAATTGGTCTCAGCAACAGAAAAGCAAAAAAGCAAAAAAGATATTCTTTGATTACTTTTTCATATGAAAACAATCTATTTTATTACATAGAAAAAATATTCCTAATTTTGTAATCTGTGTCAAGGAAAAATTGAAGGGACAAGTCATGAAGTATGATGCCGCTTAACGATCAAAAGAATTCCGTATTTTGAAATTGATTCGAGGAAAAAATGATGGGACAAGTCATGCCCTATGATGCTACTTCGGTACCATATTGAAAATATAGAGTTTATATATTGAAGGAGGTAAGAAGTGAGTTCACTCAGTATAATATGACTCCTACTCCTAATTTATAATGAATCAAATCACAAAAGATATAATAAAATGTAGAAATCACTTTAAAGAGTTCACCTAAGATACTCCAACATAGAAATGGCATGGGAAGGAACAACCTGTTTTATGCCGTTCTATTTGGTTCCATTTTTTAGATGGAACTACAAACATAAACCACTTTCCTACCTTTTTCTATTATGTTTTACTTTTCATTGTGCCTAACATTTAACATAATCCATAGCTCTATTTCTATCAACTCATATACCAAACGCTGCCGAAACTATTATAAAATACAAAAGAATTCGAGATTTTATTTGACATTTACTAGATATTCTAACAAGGTCTATATGATAACTTAATAAATAAAACAATGAGATAAAAATAAAAGTTCAAACACTATAATTTCAGCGCATCTACTGAATTGGACAAACCTCAAGATATTTATATGTAACATTATCAGGAGGAATAACACCATTCTTTCCTCCAGCTTCAACTACCATGTTGCACAATGTCATCCGTTCTTCCATCTACACCCAAAAGGGACAAGTTATCAACACAACATTTGTAATCAAAACAAATAAATAAATCAGTAAACTGAAGAAACATTTACATCACAAAATAGCATCTTTGCTTAGCATACTTACAGTTAAACTTTCAACAGTTGAGCCAACAAACTCCATAGATTTGTAAGTTGCACCGGCCACAGATATTTCGCCAATAATCTGTAGGGTAAATAATTCGCTCAATAAAGAATCCAATCTACATATTAGCTACATGTAATAAAGCTAACTATTTTCATGGATCTAACTATTTTCATGGATACTTACTTGCAGAATCAAATCCTTTGCAAGCAAATAACTTGGCATTTCTCCATCCAATACAAATCTCAAAGTTGGAGGCACCTACATTCATAAAGGATATAGGATATGAATAAATAACAATTATTTCTATACTAGTAGTTAACTAATTGAACAAAAATCTATCTTCGTCATTACTCCAAAAGCTTCAAGAAAATCCTTAATTTCTGATTCTCTTATTTTGCTCCAACACTATCTCCAATTCTTCTCCGACTCGACAATTGTTGTTTAAGGGCATTGCAGGAATTTGCAACAGATTACGACATAATGGGAAGTTATTCTAGTAAAGATGTTATTTTTTTCAAAGTTGCTAGCAATCTTGTTCCATCAGTCTGATCTACCTTCATCTTTTTATGGTAACAAGAAAGACACCCTATATTTTAATATCATAAGGCGCCTGTTTTACACGGAAGCCTCTAAAAATAGATATTAAACCTAGACTAGACACTGATCTAGTCAATCAGTTGAGCCACTACTAGACCAATAGTCCAACAACTATTGGTTTAAGCTAAGTTTACACTTCACAATTAAATTTTAACAGAACTATTGCTAAATTGAAAACACTCCTAGTTGCAAAGGGATATGCACACATTTAAGATGTAACTATATTGATACTTTCTTTTTGTTAAGAGTCTTACATCGGACAATATTTGGCCTGAACATGCGCTTATAAGTGGGAGCAATCCTCACCATACAAGCCGGCTTTGTAGGGATTAGTTAGGCCCTACCATATTTCTTAACATGGTATGTCAGGTTTCTGTTGTCGGACCACCCACCATTTACTTTCACGCTCTAGATGTCAAGTTTTGGGCGTGAGAGGGTGTCTTACGAGTCTCACAACGGACAATATATGGCTTGAACATGTGTTTACAAGTGGATGCAATCCTCACCCTACAAACCGGTTTTGTAGGGATGCGTTAGGCCCTACCACTTTTCTTAACACAGACATCAATTAATCGTCTTTATCTCTCACAATTTCTTCAATGGTGACTTACAGAGAAAATGTACTATGATGAAAATACCCAAGTTTGTTGCTTAGAGGGAGAACAAGAACACATGTTGATCAAATAATTCATTTTGTGACATAAAGCAGTTGCCTATAAAGTTGTTCAGTAGATTTATAAATGTAATCTTTGAGTTAGAACTTAGGATGGAAAAGGAGCAGTAGTGGTCATATTTAAGTTTTAAAACACTGAATGTAAGCTGCACTTTTTATTGTTTGTTTATGTAAACCCGGTGTTGTCAATTACGGATCTCAAATAAATAGGATTCTGTTAAGAATTCACTGCACAACAGTGCTATAGCACTACAGCCTCTATTTGACAACATTTTGTATTAAATAGCGAATCGCGGAACAATACCGATTAACTCAAACTCTGCTACACTATAGCACTATAGTACCGCTACAGCCACTATTTAACAACACTGCAAACCAATTATCATAACAAGCTAGATTATACTTTTCAAACCAGGTTATGCTGAGAAGGTACAATAGTGGCCCTAAGAGTAAAAAGAAACATGATATAATTACCTCTGAACAACAGGATCGTAGAGCTTAGAGTTACAAAATTACCTTGAGCAAAAGCTTCCCTGCTCCTAACACAAAACCGGCATCAGTATTACCAATTCCTGTTGCAAATTGACCAAACGCTCCAGCAGTACAAGTGTGAGAATCAGTGCCCAAGAGAACCTGCGGGAGCAACCTAGTTAGCAAAACATGAACCTAATAAGCAATACCTCATTGTTCTTTCAAATAACTTGTTAAATTGATCAGACCTCTCCTGGCCTACAATGACCTTCCTGAGCAAGTGCGACGTGACAAACACCCTTGTAATCTGGATTTACCTGTATTATTATAGTCAAACATTCATCATCCAACGACATTATGCATATTACAATACTCTTGAAGAATTGAAACAGCCTAATCTATATCGAAAAAATGGTAAGAATGAATACCTTAAAATTACTGAGATCCTTAATATCATAAAAGTACTTGATATTTTGCTCCTGACAAAAATCCCTGAGTATGTCTACATTGCGATTGGCACGTTCATCACTTGTGAATATATAATGATCAGGTATTATTACAAGTTTTTCACGATCCCAAACCTTCAAAGGTACAATGCAGTCAGGAAATCACAAAACTCGGGCCTCAATATTATAAGGAGAATGACAGTCTAGCAACCAAAGAAAAACTACAACCCTCCTACGTGTCGTGTGAATGTAATTACTAAATCCACAATAATTTTTCTTTGCAGCTACTAGATACATGGTTACAAACAGATAAAAGCTCTTTCACAGTAAGAGACACAATAGTGAAACTAGATTTGACATCACTTCCTCAATCGTTCACCAAATTACCTAACCAACCATCAAAAAATCAAAAAGTTCCAAAATAATTATAATCACCTTAGCATCCTCACCAAACTCCTTCTTAAAAATCCCAATAGAACCAGGACCACAAACATCATGTGTCATCAAAACATCAACATTGACCCAAATATTATCCCCAGGTGTAGCCTTCTCCTTCTCAGCAGCTCTTGCCAATATCTTCTCAGTCATGGTCATGGCTGTCTTCACCTGAAAACCCCATCAAACAAAAAATCATCAACAAGAAGGACTAAAAAACCAAAAAAAAATCCAAAAGGGTATCCAAAGAAACAAACTGATCCGGTGGTAGAAGGCTGGCGCTGCGTTTGCTGAGGCGCGGCAATGGAACAAGAGACTCTCCTGGAAGCATGTTTCTGACATCGCTGAGAAGAAGCAGAGAGACTCAGATCCTTCTCAAAATGTTATAAAAAATGGTTATTTTATGCATAGTTATAACCCTTTTGGGAAAAAGGGGTGAAGAAAAAACAAGACTTTAAGGGTGATAATGGGATTGAAAAGAGAAAGGAAGAAGAAAAAGAAGAAGAAACCTTGGTATGGAAGAAGGAGGTGGTCGGTGGAGGAACAAGGGAGGAAGCCATTGATTGATGATGTCTGAGAAACAATGTGTGTGGCGGCTGATGAAGAGACGTAGTTTTCTGGTTTTGTTTGATTGTTTATTTATATTTACTTTATTTTTTGCCCAATATTTGATTTTCATTTGCTTCTCCTTTTTTGTTGTGATTTGAGTAAATTTTAATGTCATTATTAGTGGGTTTTCGTATTAAATAAGATAGTAAGAATCTTAATAATCAAATGTAATTTAGAAGGTCAAAATGTTAGTAGGTTATGATAGTTTTTTATTAATAGCAGTTATTTTTTCTGAGAATTGTAGAAGGCATTGGGTCTATATAAAGATCAAGAGCGTATTTTATTTATTTTAAGCACAACAAGTTATAAAAGTTTGCCTCTTTCTCTAAATAGTTCATTAGAAGTCTACTCATGTTCTATCAAATTGGCATCAGAGCTCATGGCAAACATGATGAATCAAATATCGTTGTCACGGCTAACGAAGTCAAATTACGAAACCTGGAGTATCCAAATGAAAACTCTTCTTAGATCTCTAGACGCGTGGGATGTGACTCATGATGGGTTTGAAGAACCAACATAAGTTAGGGGATATACTGCAGCTCAAACTAAGGCGTTGAAAGAGACACGATCGAAGGACAAAACGGCATTATACATGTTATTCAGGGCTGTAGATAAACCAGGCTTCGAAAAGATTGTTGGTTCGACTACGTCGAAACAAGCATGGGACACGTTAGAGAGAGTGTTCAAAGAAGCAGATCGAGTGAAGCAAGTTCGACTCCAAACTCTTCGTGGCGAATTAGAGAGGATACAGATGAAGGATACAGAAATTGTATCTGACTACATCACACGTGTGCAAAAGGTGGTGAATCAGCTCACCAGAAATGGCGAGACAGTAACTGATGCACGAGTTGTTGAAAAGATCTTGAGATCTTTAACAGACAAGTTTGAGAATATTGTGTGTACAATAGAAGAGTCGAAGGACCTTTCGATGCTCTCAGTCGAAGAGCTCGCTGGTTCTCTCGAAGCACATGAACAACGAAAGATAAAAAAGAAGAAAGAAGTAGTCGAAGAAGCAAATCAAACCAAGGAATCGAACAAAGACGAAAAGGTACGCTTTTCTCAAAACTTTCGAGGAAGAGGATGTGGACGTGGAGGTCGTGACAGTGGTCGAAGTGGTCGAGGTAGCAACTTCGAAAGAGGACAAATGAGCCAACAAAATTTGCGTGGTAGGGAACGTGGTCAAAGAGATGGTCGTTCGAACTACTCCAACTTCGAATGCTACAAGTGTGGGAAGTATGGTCATTACGCGAAGGATTGCAACTTCTACAAATGTTACAACTGTGACAAAGTGGAACATCTGGCAAAAAATTGTCGAATCAAAAAGAAGATTGAAGAAACAACAACCTAACCTTGGAAGCTGAATCGAATGAAGGCTTTCTCCTGATGGCTTAAAATGAAATCAACACCAATAATGACAATGTTTAGTATCTTGACTCAGGAGCAAGTAATCACATATGTGGTTACAAACACATGTTTAAAGATATGAAGAGAATTGAAGATGGTAATGTGTCTTTCGGAGATGCATCGAAAGTGAAGGTCGAAGGAAAGGGCACAATCAATTACTTGCAGAAGGGTGGCTTGATTGGATCAATGAAAGATGTTTACTATGTACCAGATCTCAAGACTAACATCTTGAGTTTGGGACAACTTACAGGAAAAGGTGCTTTGATACTTATGAAAGATCGAACACGGCATTTGAAGGACAAAGTAGTACATCTGATTGCCCGTGTCGAAATGGAAAGAATCAAATGTACAAACTGAATCTGAGGAATGTTCGAGAGAAATGTCTGCAAATCGAAGTGCAAGACAAAACGTTATTATGGCATATGCGCTTTGGTCATCTACATCATGCTGATTTGAGAAGGTTGGCGAAAAGGAACATGTTGCATGGACTACCAGACATGGATTATGAAGGAAAGTTCTGTGAAGAATGTGTGCTCAACAAACAAACAAACAAACAAGAACCTCATTTCAAAAGAAGGCAGAATATCAAGCTAAACGTATTCTTGAATTGATTCATACTGACATATGTGGGTCAATCACTCTAGAATCCTTCAGTGGAAAAAGGTACTCCATTTCTTTTATTGATGATTTCTCACGAAAGACTTGATTTAATTCTTGAAAAAAAAGTATAAAGCATTAGAGGTGTTCAAAAAGTTCAAAATAATGGTGGAGAAGGCAACAGACAGACATATCAAAGCAGTTCGATCTGACAGAGGGGGTGAGTACACTTCAACAGCCTTTATGAAGTACTGTGAAGAATATGGCATAAGGAGATTCCTAACTGCACCATATTCACCTCAGCAAAATGGTGTGGTTGAAAGGAAGAATCTAATTATTCTTAACATGGTTCGATCAATGCTTAAAAGCAAGAACATGTCGAAAGAATTCTGGGCAGAAGCAGTACAATGTGATGTTTATGTTTAGAATAGATGTCCATATTCGAAGTTAGAAGATAAAACACCACAAGAAGCATGGAGTGGACAGAAGTCAACAGTTTCTCATCTCAAAGTATTTGGTATTGTAGCTTATGCACATGTACCAGATCAACGAAGAACAAAACTTGAAGACAAAAGTCAGAAGTACATATTCATTGGATATGATGAGAAGACAAAAGGGTACAAGCTATTTGATCCTATAAGCAAGAAAGTGATCGTGAGTAGAGACGTTTGAATAAACGAAGCAAGCAAGTGGGACTGGAACAATTCGATTGAGGTTATTGACGCAGTCGAAGAAACAATTATAGTTGTACCAACAAGTATTTCAACAGAACATGAAGATACTGAAGATGAATATGAACCTCTACAGCCCAGAATGAGAATTTTGAAAGATTTATATGATTCGACAAGTGAGGTGCATCTTGTGTGCCTTCTGGCAGATACTGAAAACATCAGTGTCGAAGAAGCGTTACGAGACAAGAAGTGGAAAAGTGCCATGGACGAAGAGATTAGAGCAATCGAATGCAACAACACTTAGGAGCTAGTCGAATTGCCAAAAGGTAGTCAACCCATTGGTGTAAAGTGAGTATTTCAAGAAAAAGATGAATTCTCAAGGAGAAATCGAAAGATTCAAAGCACGACTTGTTGTGAAGGGATACAAACAGAAAGCAGGAATTGACTATGATGAAATGTTTGTACCTGTTGCAAGAATGGAGATAATTCGATTGCTCATTTCTCAAGTTGCTCAATTCAAATGGCCAATATTTCAAATGGATGTCAAGACAACATTTTTGAATGGTGTGCTCGAAGAAGAAATCTATGTCGAACAACCACTTGGGTATATGAGAATTGGCAAAGAGAAGAAGGTGCTGAAATTGAAGAAAGCGTTGTATGGGCTGAAGCAAGCACCAAGGGCATCGAACACACGCATTGACACATGTTTCAAAGAGAATGAATTCGAGCAATGTCCTTATGAACCTGCCCTCTATGTGAAGAAAAATGGAAGTAATGTATTACTTGTTGCTCTTTATGTTGATGATCTTATTTTTCTAGGCAGTGATGTTCATATGATAGAAGATTTCAAGAGCACCATGACAAACGGATTCGAAATGACAGACTTAGGTTTGATGAGATTCTTTATTGGTCTGGAGGTTCGACAAGAAGAAACTGGAATCTTTATCTCACAAGAAAAATATGCAAAGGAAATCCTGGAAAAATATAAGACGAAGAACTGCAATCCAACTTCGACGCCAATGGAACCAGGTGCAAAATTGTCAAAGTTTGATGGAGGAGAATGGGTCGAAGGAAGCAAATATCAAAGCTTGGTAGGTAGTCTTCGATATCACACATGCACAAGGCCAGACATTTCACTAAGTGTTAGCATTGTAAGTCGATTCATGGAGGAGCCAGTACACACACATTGAAAGACACTGAAACGAATTCTAAGGTACATCCAAGGAATATTATCACTTGGAATGTTTTATTCAAAAACAGAAGACTACAAGTTAGTTGGTTATTCTGACAGTGACTGGTGTGGAGACATAGACGATCGAAAAAAACACTTTTGGATATGTGTTCTTCGTGGGAAACACAACTTTTACTTGGCTTTCAAAAAAGTAACCTATAGTAAAATTTTTGGCGTGTGAAGCTAAATATGTGGCAACATCTTGGTGCATTTTTCATGCAGTATGACTCAGAAGGTTGATAAGCAAGATGGAGTTAAAACAGGAAGGTCCAACAATAATACAAGTGGACAACAAATCAGTAATTGAATTGACAAAGAATCCAGTGAATCATGAAAGAAGCAAACACATTGATGTTCGATTCCACTTTATTTGAGAACATGTGAAGGAAGAAAGTATCGAATCGAGGCATGTAGCAAGCAAGAATCAAGCAGCGAATATTTTCACAAAACCACTATCGAAAGAGATCTTCGACAGAGGCAAGAAGATGATAGGCATGTTGGATGGAAGAAATATTTAAGTTTACAGAGGAGTTTTGTTGAGTAAACTTTAATGTCATTAATAATGGATTCTCGTATTAGATAAGGTAGTAGGAAGGTTAAAAACCAAATGTAATTTGGAAGGTCAAAAAGTTAGTAGGTCATGATAGTTTTTTATTAGTAGCAGTTATCTTTTCTTAAAATTGTAAAAGTCATTAGGTCTATATAAATATCAAAAGTGTATTTTATTTTAAGCACAATAAGTTATAAAAATTTGTCTCTTTCTCTAAATAGTTCATTAGAAGTTTGCTCCTGTTGTTCTATCGGGAATAAAATTATATTTTCTTTTTAAGTTTTTTTGCATGTGAGGATAAAGAAAAGTAAAAAATGTGTCTTAATACTTACAAAATATTTTGCACGTGATTAACACAATGAAATTAGTACAAGAGTTTTATCATTTGAGAATTCGGTGGAAAGGGCAAACTTAAGACCATTCACATTCATAGTATTAGTTTAAAATTTTAATGGATCTCACTCTATTTTTTATATTATATTACACTTCTAATTTACT